TAAGCAATATTTTAATCCAGTATTGTAAGCAAAATAAATATAAACTCTTTTCCTCTTTTTTAAAGTAAAACTTTGGTCAGTATAAAGAAAGAGGAGGTGGAAGGGAAGAAGTCTTTCCAAATACTTGTGCTGGGAATCTTGGAAAAGAATTTTTTTTTAAAAAATATTGCCATTATATGATGCTTGAATAAACTCTACATTCATTCAACTGGCAATTGAGCACCTACTATAGCCCAGGTATGGTGCAATAGTGCCAGGGAGATAATAGAGAAAGTATATGTCCCTATCTTCATGGGGAAAATATCAGTATGTTTTTATTGAAGAACTGTTGCACACTAAATTATGAGTACTCATGGAGCAGGTGGCTTATTTTCTCCGATCTGGTATAGCTCTAAAGAATATATCTTCATATATCAATAGATCAGATTTCTTCCCATTCTAGAATTTCATGATCTAATAATAGAAACAAGTTGCATGCTTCCAAAAAGATGTTATGCTCGTGTCACATTTTTTTATATACAAAGAAATAGAGAGGTTGCCTATTTAGAGGCAATTGAGTTAATTTTGTATCTTTAAATCTATTTAAACTTCCTTGACTCTTCCTTCCCTCTTCACCTTTGAATACACACTCTTATTCTTTTCATTCTTTCTTCCAGTTCCTTTAATGACTGAGAGACAAATTTCATTTCTAAGTTAGCTAGATACATGACATTTCCACTCAAAGATTTCATTGTTAGGTCAAACTCATGTTTTGAATGAATTCATAAATACACCCCTCATGGTCTAATTTCCACATTTCCATCACCAATAGCTTTACCCCCTGCCTTCCATACTTGTTCATCTCTTCAAAACTCACATTCCAGCACCAAAATTGATTATTTCTTTTTTCTTTCAGAAAAACTTTTTTTTTTGCTGCTGAAAACCCTTTGTTCTATTTCTGAATTTTGTTTGAGTTATGTCTAAAAGAATGATCTGTGATAAAGTTTGGAATGAGGTCAGAGATCTGTAAGATTGGGGGCCTATTTTGGATTCAGATGATGTACCCATGAGGTCTCTCTGAAGCCAAAAGCATTACAAACGTTATTGCCAGAGCACATGATCAGTGACACAGTCATGCTCTCTCACCATCCACCTTTTCCCCTTGTGATTTTTTTCTCAGTATGTGCAAAGACCTTTGGGCATTATCCACTGCCATATGGCATTCTCCAGCCCAAGCTCAAACTTGCACATCCATCTCTTGATAAATTTCTATTTTATTTAACTCATTCAGCTGTTAGAAATAATTACAGTCCAAAACTTTGCTTGCATTATTTCTTATGCAACCTTTCTCTGTAGTTGAATGGTAAAATACTCTTCAAAAGAGGAACTGACCCTAACATTGGATTAGCAAATACACTGATGACTGCTATGGCATAAATGTGTGTAGCAGGTTTGATCTGAATTCAGTAAATTAAATAATTAAAAATAAATTAAAAGCCCAAATGCTTATTCAAAATTTATGCTTTATTCAGCTTTAATATTTAGGAGAACAGTGAAAAGCTAAGACAAGACTGAATAACTTTGAGTACTGGCTTTGCTGGTTGATTTACTAATGTCCATGCTTAGGCAATATTTGCTTTGGGTTGTTTAGTTTACTTTGTTTGGTTGGGTATTTGTCTTTAGTTTCATTTTTTGACTTAAGTCACACCTAGCAAGACTCAGAAGGTACTATCAAGTTTTTGCTTGCGTGGGTCCTGGTTTTAGCAGGGCTTGTAGGACCGACCTTTCAGGAATTGAACCCAGGACTTCATAGTTAACCAAACAAACCAAACAAATAAAACCTCATAGTTAACCAAACAAACCAAACAAATAGTTAACCAAACAAACAAAACGTGAAGCCACATTGCCAGCCTGGGTTGGTTTTGAAACTACTTGTGCTTCAGTTTCTACAACAGTGAAGTAGGGATATATTTTTACTTCCCACCACAGTTATAGTAAAGATTCAATCATTATGCTAGAGGACTTAATAAATAATATTGGCCATTTTGGGTGCCTAGAAAATTATACATACTGTAGTCCTCTGCATTTATTAACTATAATAGCTACACTAGCAGTAGCTACTAACATTAATTGAGCAATTATCCAATGACAAGAACTATGCTAAAGATTTCTCATGTTTCTTCTTATTTCCTACAAAATCTCTGTGAAGTTGATCATATTTTTGTCCCCATTTTAGTGTAAGAAAAAAGTTTATAGGCCAACTGATAGTACCAGGGAGGGTGCTTGACTTGCATGTGACTGGCCTGTGTTCGATCCCCGGCATCCCATATCATCCTCTGATCATTCCCAGGGCAAATTCTGAGCAAAGAGCTGGGAGTAACCCCTGAGAACAGGTGGGTGTAGCCCAACAAACCCCCCAAATAAAAGTTAGTATTAGAGTAATTTACCAGGGAACATTTAGTCCATGTCAGTGGGCATTCTTTTTCCTTGTGTGTTCTCTCTTTCTCTCCCCCACCTTCACATTCACCCCCTTTCCCTCCCCCACCCACATCTTTTTCATTCTCTATGGCTTTCTCCTTTTCCTCTTGCATATACATAGTCATCTATTGATTCAGTCAAGTAGTTGTTAGATAAATATTTGATACCACATCCCATGTGCAAGCTTCCGTGTATTCTGAAGGAGACAAAGTAGGAGACAAAAAAGAAGTAGTGGTCTTTGCTACCAAAGCATTTCTAATACATTATCAGAAATACCCATGTCCATATAGCTACAAAGAATGATATGATAGAAGTTCTCCAAATATAAACCATGTGCTGTGGGAACGCTAAGAAAGCAATCATATATATAAGAAGCAATTACTTATAATCTACTGGAAAATGAGCCTATAAACACAGAACAACCTGGGAGAGGGCGAAGATAAAAACATTCCAAAGGAAGAAGTAGCATGAATAAGTCCCACACGTGTTATATTGGATAGACTATCAGAGGACAGGCAGGTAGAGTTTGTGATATAGGACAATATATCATGGAGTTATAGAACAGCAGGTAGAGCATTTGCCCTGCATGCAACCAACCCAAGTTCGAGTCCTCCATCCCTCTCAGAGAGCCCAGCAAGCTACCAAGAGTATCCCGCCCATATGGCAAAGTTTGGCAAACTACCTGTGACGTATTAGATATGCCAAAAATAGTAACAACAAGTCTCACAATGGACACGTTACTGGTGCCTGCTTGAGCAAATTGATGAACAACAGGAGAACAGTGCTACCGTGCTATAGGATAATAACTGGAAAGGGAGGCTGGAAATGTTCCACCTGATTTTATGTGCATAGCAGTGAGGCATAGTCTGCAATTTTTGGTACTCAATGACTTACCAGATATGTAATCCAAACAGAAATGGGCAAGGTAAAAAGTAAAAAGAGAAGATGGGCCTGGATCTGTGCTTGGCACTAGATCACGATTACGACCATCCTGTTATTCGTCAATTGCCTCGAGCAGGCCCCAGTAACGTCTCCTTCGTCCTAGCCCTGAGATTTTTTAAAAAGTGCCATATTCAAGGCTCTTTTAGAGTTAGGAGAATGAGACCCATCATTGTTACTAGTATTTGGCATATTGGGTACACCACAGAGAGTTTGCCAGACTCTGCCATGTGGGCAGGTTACATTCGGTAACCTGCCAGTTTGTCCAAAGTAGGAATGAGATAATAAGACGTCGCTTCCGAGAGCTGGGTTTTATAGTCTCTGAGTCTTGGCCATTGATGGGATTACGTTGGTGGGTGTGACCCCCGCCTACTGGAATTTGGAGGATCTGAGTGGAGGATGCTCAGCCCCGATCCGAGTAGGCTTGGAGATCTCAGTCCCGGGACCTGCATGCCTTTGTTCCTCTGCTGGTACCTTCGTGTGTGCAGAGGGTGGGCTCAGCATGGTGGTGACTGGTTCTGGAGGTCTTCGGCTGCTGGAGCCCTGGTCTGGGCAGGGAGGGAAACTCAACCCGCTCCCCTCCAAGGGGCCCCGGCGAGGACTAGATTGAGACTGGAAAGCCAGAGTTGTCTTTACCTTAACTACTTTTCTGATGAATTTAAGATCTATTTGACATCTTGGGAGTGATGAATTCCACAGAACCAAACCCACTTAAGCTCTGAGGCTCTGGGCAAGCTTCTGAGAGCAACTCAGAAGCTTGAACTGTTCAGAATCAAATAAAAATACCAAGTTATAGAGCAAGGAAGATGCCTGGGGCTGCCACTAATATGGCAAAACATCAGATGAAATCATATGCCATTTCCCCCATAAAAATCTTCCCTTTTCCAACCCCACAAGGAATTCACTAAACTGATAGGACACTAGGTATTATAGAAAGACCTGCCTGATGGGGAGAAATAACAACTTTTTGAGGTGACAAAAATGTCACCTAAAGATATGTTTCCCCCTTATTCCCAAGTTCACTAAACATTGAAATCTAATAATGACTTTTTCTCCTTTCTACCTTATAGTTATCTTAGATATAGGCCTAGTCTATTTCTTTTCTTTTTAGGTTATTAATCAAGTATTGGTTACTTATTAATGATCACTAATTATTGATCATTATCATTTTAAAAAAGCAATATTCTATAATCAAAACAATAGGATAAAGCTTAAAGAACACACTCTATCTCATTTCAGTGATCCTAGTACAATGGCAAATGGCATCCTTCCTAAACTTTCCAGGAAAGATTTAGACTTTCCATTTTGGAGGGCATTAATTGGAGCAGTAGTTCATGTATGGCTGCCAATGAGTAGAGTTTTCTTTTCTAAGTCTCATTTTAACATTGTCAAGGGAACACATCTTTTTTGTTTGGTCTTGGTTTGATCAAAATGGGTCTCCACGGCCATCTAAGGCAAATGAATATTAAAACCAGGGTTATAAATTGTTGCTTTAGTACTGCAGCCTTAGAGACACAAAATGTCTTACCAAAATGGATACATTATTTTAATTGCTCCTCATTATATCCAATGAGAGGACATCATTTCTCTCCTTTTTCCCCCAGGTGTCTGTTGAAGAGCGCATCCGGCAGCTGCATGAAGCCCACAGGGACTTTGGCCCCGCATCCCAGCATTTCCTTTCCAGTAAGTGGTGTCACTTTGCTAAGCCTCTTCATTGCAGTTTGGTGAGAAAGAATTAAAGACTTGAATCACAGTCTCTGCCAAATGCTCTGAAGGCATAAATCATCCTGAAATACAGCTTGGTGGGTGAGTTTAGAAGGTTAGGAAGACAAGGACCAATTAGACTGTTCTGTCCAGTTTTTGGCCCTGGCATAATTGTTTCCTGCAATATATTCTCCAGTGCTAGCTTGCCTAATGTTTTTGAGTATACTTCTGCTTATAGAGTTCACTTCATAAAACTGATCATTATCATATCATGCAATTATGATATAATTAACTATTTATTACTGAGAATCTGTAATTATCTTTATAATTCGTTAAGTACTCCCAGACTCCAACTTGGAACCTCAGCCCATCATGTTTTCTTAACTCTTCTGATCCCTATTTTAGCCTTGAACCTAATTCACTCTTTTCATTTTCCAGTTATATTATTTTACAAATTGAAGTATTTACTAATTTACAATCAATTATGTTGTCTATTATTAGTATATGTTTGATAATTATTTATAAAATATTTGACATTATGCATGCACTGTTACAATATATTAGACAATAGAGAAATAATAGCCTTAATGAATTGGAAGTCCTATTGATCCAGTAATGCATAACAAATTGTCAAGATCCTGTTTTCCTCTGACTGTTTATTTGTGCCTTGCTTTCTTTGAGTGTAAAATTGTATGTGATAAGTTTTATTGGTCTTTAAATGAAATACTTCTACCACATGGAGTTAACATGTTTGCCTTTTGGTATATTTCTGGTTACATGTGACTGTGAGGGTTTAGCTATCATTTTAAGGTAATCACCTTGTCGCTGTCATTGTCATAAATATAAATTAATTCAAATCTTATAATAACCAATGGGATTCTTATAATCATTACATCCATTTTAAAAATGAGGAAAATGATACTTATAGCCATACAATGAATGGTGGCAAAAACGATTCGAACCCAACCATAGAATTTATTTTTAATAACCACACTGAACCATCTTTTACATAATGTCTATGTATTGTAGAGAGAAAATTATTGCATAGTATGTCCATTCTTCTGCCTTCTTCTTCCCTTGCTATTTTCTGGTCCTTTCATTTATTCCTAGTCACACCGTCACTGTCACTGTTACTGTCCTCCTGTTGTTTATCGATTTGCTCCAGCGGGCCCGGTAACTTTGTGAGACTCTTTGTTACTCTTTTTGGCATATCGAATACACCACAGGTAGCTTGCCAGACTTTGCCGAGCGGGTGAGATACTCTCAGTAGCTTGCCGCCGGGCTCTCCAAGATGGGTGGAGGAATCGAAGGCGGAGGAATCGAACTCTGGCCGTGTTCAAGGCAAATGCCCTACCTGCTGTGCTATCACTCAGGTTAATAAAAAGTTCTCACCAACCTTTTCAGTGTTAGATTAGATGCCTTCATGTGTGGCCATGAGTCTTTTAAAGCAAAGATCCAGAAAAGGATGGTTAGATCTTTTTGATATTCATTGATTATATATAAACAAAATGTTGTACTATTTTCTTTACTGAATCTAAACTTGTCCATATGCATTGGCTATTTGCACAGAAATATCAAGAAGAAAAGTGACAAATTAAAGCTATGTAATTGAGCAGGATTGTGGCTTTTTGAAATAGTTACGGAACTTAAAGCCTGTAGAGTCTGTCTTCTGTATTTTTCCAAATCTTGGGTCTGCTTAAATTGCCTTGGTAATTTCCATTCTATTCAATTAAATTGAGATTAAATGTGATAACATATTTCTAAGTGACTCATAAGTCGTAAATAAAAATATTATTATGAATATTAATCACTCCACAGACACCACGTATATTCATTCATACTTTATTCTATCTGCCTTCCCCACCAGAATTATCATGTCTTCTCCTTTAAAGCTTATTCTCAGATATGAGTATGTTATGCTCATTTAACCCAGGTGACAAGTAAAGTTTAATGGGTACTTCTGGATTATTTGCATTTTAATAGGGTGATAAGCTATAAACCAGAGGAAAAGCCTTTTTGGTTGTAGAATGTGAGCCATAATTTTGGAACTGTGAGATTAATCTCTGAATGCCTCAAATTTCTTCACTTTGAGGAACTGGACGGAACTTCCTCACACTTTTCCAGCCATAACACAGCCATAACACACAGATGCCCATTTCCAGAAAGGTCACACCTGTAAACACAGTTGCTCAAAGATGCCAATCTCTACTACCCTAAATGTGGCCAGCCCTATAAATCCCCAGTTCCTTGGATATTATAAGGGTGCAAAAAAACATTCTGTGTACTGCTTTGGGTTCTTTAGAGACTAGACTAATAAATCAAGCATCCAACAGATAGATAAAGGACAAAGGTAAGGAAAAATTTATTAATAACATGCATATCTGCATATCTCCTACACAAGGAAGTCTCTGGCAGAGTTAAGTGGCTCACTACATAGTCTTAATTATCATCTTTAAAGAGCTTAGCTAAAGCAAAGGACATTGGGGATAAGGGAAGGTCAGTTGGGTAGGTTACAAGGCACAGTAAACAAAGGAGTGCAGATTTCAGTTCTGATAAGATCTTCCTGAGAGACCCCACTGCCTTTAGGGAGGTATTTACATGTCTTTAAGAAGTGACCTTTGTCCCACCTTTAAGAACACTCCCATGAAATTCACCTTTTGACAAAAACAGAATTCGGGGGTGATTATTTTTGTTCCCCTACAATACTCATGAGGACTTTTAATATATACTTAGAAACTTCGCTTGTGGGTACCAAAATGTCAATATAGTTTCAGAAATATTTGATAAATAGTAGAAAGAGACTAAAGACTCAAGAAACAATGTTTCCTTTTTTAAATTTTAGAGATAAATATACACCTTGAAGGAAGTTTTGGAAAGCAGAAAGTATAAACAGGAAAAGAAAAATTGCCAATAACCCCGATATTCATTGATAACCACTATCCAAAAACGTTATTTGTATACTTTCTGTCTTTCTTTAGATATGTGTACCTTTATGTTTGTTTGAAAATTTAGATTTTCATTTTTATGGCCTGTTTTTTTCCACCTAAAACTATGATAAAAATATTTTTATGTATTTACATATTTCTCTACCAAGTCATTTTTTGTTTTGTTTTTTCATTATATTGAAGTGATTTTTTAATGACTGGTAGCATTCACTCTTGTGGTAATGCCAGATTTACTAGAACAATCTTGAATCACTCAATATTAAAGTTATTTGGAAATGTTCACTATTAACCGTCTGCAACATTGTGAATAACATCCTTCATACAATTTTATAAACATCTCACATCATTTCTATACAATAACTGCCTGGAACAAAAAATAAAACTGCCCTGTTAAAGAATATTTACATTCATAAGGCTTTTCATATGTATTGCCACACTGACCTCTACCAAGTTGCATCAGAAATTGGGTACATCATCAAAACCATATTTAAGTCCGGGCTACTCTCAAATTACTTATTTGCTGTTAAACTGTGTTCCATGAAAGACAAATAGCTTTTCCTCCAAAACAAATTTTTAAAATATCACTAAAGTCACGTTAAATGAGTTTGAATTGATAGACGTCTAGTAATTCATTTGCAGGTTAGTAGGTATAATACTGGGTGATTTCTAAGTTGTAGTATTACAAAGAAAAGAAAATATAGAGTAAGAATGAGTCACTAACTACATACCCAACCAAAGTGCTTGCTGTCTCTTCTTTATCATCCTCTATTCCCTCTGCCTGCCACAACCTCACTTACTCTTTTTGCTGTCCACCCTTCCTTCTTCCCTTCTTCACTGCCCCATTCCCCTCTGTTTCCTCTCTCTCTCACACACACACTCGCTTTTGAAAATTACATTACCAGCTGTCTGTAGTTTTATCAGTAGAGAGAGACAGTCTTTTTTACTAAAGAAAAGTATTCACTGTTTCTTCTTGGTGGTCCAATCTCTACTTGTTAAAGAAGTTGTTTCTTTTATCTTAGATCTAAGAAAATAATAAAAAGGAAAATACATTGTAAAAAGACCACCCTTATCCATTGACACATAGATAGCCTGCCTTTAATTCTAGCTTTAATAGTCTAAAACTTCTAATTAACTTCTGCAACTTCAACCAGAGAAAAGATATTATAATACTGTGATCTTCAAATTTTATAAACTGCACTATTAAAATGTATACATATTTTGTATATATATTTGTGTGTGCATGTATGTGTGTATGTATAGAGAGACATGTGCATAAATACACATGGGTACATGCACACACACATATATACACAGAAAAAGAGACAGGATGCACAATGATTTCTCTTCATCTGTCAATAATTAAGAAAGTACAGCATGTTTTCAGGCAACCTGGAACTCTTCACTATCGAGTCCTGATAATGTTGATGAGAAGAAAATTCCTGGGTAAATTTGAGCAAATCCACATTATTAGCAGAACTTCTTCCTATTAGATATCATTTTGTTTTAAAATTGCAGTTCCTGAAATCTGAGAGATAGTACATGGATTAAGATACTTATCTTGCATCCTGCTGACCCAGGTTTGATCCCTGGCACAAGATGCGGTACTCTGAGCACAACCAGGAGTAAGTCCAGAGCACATAGCCAGGAGTAGACCCTGAGCATTTCCAGGTATGGGCCAGAAATCCCAAAGAATAAAGTTGCAATTATAGGAAAATAATGAGGTTGCTAAATCCCAATGAGGACTTAATATACATGTATTATTAGCATAGTCTGACAATTGTCCATTTATTTGTTATTTGCAAGAATCAAATGCTCTTTTAAAACTAGTTTTTTTTCAGGCTTATTTTCTTAATTTTCTGTGTATCTGTTCTAAACTTTAGTTTTAGCTCCAAAATATATTTGAGTATAATTGGAAATCTTTCTGTACCAAAAAAAAAACCTTATAGTCATCTTAATATTTTACAAATTCTGAAATCCCCTAGAGAAGCATTTTCTAAGCTAAGTTTCTCAGAACATTATTATTCTGTACAATTT